CAGCAGAGGGAAGTGAAGGGGACCGGCAGTCTAAGGCGTCATTGCACTGCTGGATTTGCGGAATGCCCACAAGAAACGGTGGCGGTGAGGGACCTAGAGGGGGAACATAGGTGAGTAAATCTGACTCTAACAGCCACAGGCATGACTTCCGGAGGCAGTTGCGTAATGAGATTTGTAGTTTCATCACAGCTGGAGGCTGCATACATCATAATAGTGGAAATAGCGCTTCTTCTGTCTTTAGGCAATGTCAAGGTGGGCCCAGGTCAGCTGAGGTGTATAATTCCCCTTAGAATGCATAGACTACCTGTAGCCCACAATGACACGCTTGTATATGGTCACCCTGTATATCACCCCAGAAGACAGCTTGGAACAGTTGCTTCATCGCTTCTGGAACTCCTACAGCTGAAACAGTTAAATTTCCAAAGCTTCGCACAACATCACACAAATTGGCCTCAACCCTGCAATTCTCTTCTCATGATGTGTTCCTTTGCCAGTTATTGAGCCCAGGGTTGTACTTAGCACTGTGCGTCATATTGCAAACATTTGGCCAGAAGTTTTTATTATACCTCTGTAATAAGTTATTTTAATCCACTTTCCTGTACACAAGGGAAACTGCGGTGTCTGTGCAATGAGCACACGTTTGGGGTCAATTTTGTAATGTTTACCTCAAAGCAATATTCACTACGACTTTCACATCTTTCTGAGCTTGACGATCGTATTATTCATGAGGATTGATCATACAATACTGAATGGTTTCCAATGTTGGATCAACCGTGTGTTACTGTGGGCATAGGATTCCCTTTATGGAGGTGGCCAACATCGGTTTCCCTAGCAAAATTGCCATCTGAGGGGGATGGGGAGGTGCCAATGGTCTTCGGGGGTGGGTGTTGATGGGGGTGCTGGAGGTGCACGCTAATGGAATTCTGGCTGGCGTCCTAGTGGTGCACAGCCCAGTTCACCAATGTTGCTGGCTGCAAGTAGTTGGCAGGACACTGGACAGAGCATCTCAGGTTGCTAAGAGCTGGAGGGATGATGTGCATGGCCCTTACACATCTCCTCGGCTCTCAGGAACCTGGGATGCTCTGGGCAACCCATGACCCAAAGAGATTTCGCCTTATTATAGGGATGGCTCTGGTGGCCAGGGTCTGTCTCTGGGAGTCATGCCTGTTGCTGTCCCCTTCCCTCCTTGCAAGTCATGATCCTCTCTTCTTCCTGGAGTGTCTAATTAAGTTCTGTGCTAGCCCAGCTCCTCTGCTCCTCCCCACACCTCCCTACATAATCTTTTATGTAGCTCCTGGGGGAAGAGCAAAGGGGAATACTATAGAGTGTCAATTGAGTGACAACTCTGAGTCTGCTGGGGCTGCTGACATCACATTCAAGATGCGGCAAATAGCAGCAGTCTCCGGGCTTTTGGATGTCTACACAAGGGAAGCTAAATAAAATACACATGAAATGCACTTATAATCTTAGTTAGAAGTTTTTGGTTGTAATGAATGGTCTGGCGACAGGGTTTCTTTAAAGAAGAACTCCAGACGTATGTAAAGATAATCACAAATAGTATCCCAGGAAGCAAGAAAAATAAATCATTACATTTATTATATAATTTTGTACAGTATTGTATTTTACATCAGTCCCCCAACACATTCACATTTTCATTGGTTTATTCAAATCTGATTTTCCCTATGTGTATTAATGTGGAAATGTTCTCATAAAGCGCATCCATGGTAACAATGATCCACTGCATTTAATTGTTCCGTCATGCAAATTTGAATATTCCTCTTTAATAAGTGGTGTGAAAGGTCGAAACCTTTTCCAGCCAATCAGTTTTCAGAAAACACTCCGCTAGATACAATACATATAAAACAAGTGTCGTGAGTCATCATCTGATCGTTTGCTATTGGTCAATCCACAATGGTCACTGCCTGTCCCAAAATAAAATCACACACTCTAATATTTCGTTGGACCGCCTTTAGCTTTGATTACGGCACACATTCACCCTGGCATGGTTTCTATAGATTTATTTCTGTCCAGAGTTGTATACTTTTTCACCAAGATCTTGTAGTAATGATGGGAGAGTCGGACCTGTGTAAAGTCTTCTCCGGCACATCCCAAAGATTCTCAATGGGGTTAAGGTCTGGACTCTGTGGTGGCCAATCCATGTGTGACAATGATGTCTTATGCTCCCTGAACCACTCTTTCACAATCTGAGCCAGATGAATCCTGGCATTGTCATCCTGGACTGGCCCAATGTGCCATCGGGGAAGAAAAAACCATTGATGGAAATACCTGGTCATTCAGTAAATCTAGATAGGCAGCTGAACAAATTTTTTTTTGGGGGGGGGGGATGTAACGTTGCTGAACCTAGACCTGACCATCTCAAGCAACCCCAGATCAACAATACCTGAAATCCAGATGATTTTTTCTTTTTGGCCAGGCGGTGTATTTTGAACTACTTAAAAAGTGTGTCTGGGCAGAACTCCCCTTGGTGGTGGTTAGAGTAAAGTGCATTAGAGTTGGTCCTGAAAAAAGAGTATGCTTAGCAGGATGTAATTGATTTTACATGAGATAAACTGAAATTGTAATAGACTGTAATCTGAAATTAACTTAAATTAAGTAGCATGTGTTTTGTTTAAAACCCTTAACAAAGGAATACATAGGCTGCCGTTGCTAACCTCTCCTTGTGAAAATGCTAGTTGCTTGGCTGTCATATTGATTTAATAGCTTCAGTACTTGGAATACGTATGCAGTTCAGGAGCTCTGGCCATAGGCCTTGAACACACCTACAATTAGGGCTGACAGCAACAGGATTCCAGTAAATTCCTGTGGCTGGAATGACATGCGGTGGCGGACGGTTCCAGCAGATGAGCCCATACAAATCAGTGAGAGGCTGACAGCAATCATCTTTCCCTAACTGCAGGTAATTCTTTCATGTGTGAATATATGTGGAAGGCCTTGGACAGCTTCGGCCACTGTCAGCCTCACATTGCTTTATAAGGGCTGACCTGCCGCAACTGTCTGTAACTACCTAAATTCACTGGATTCCTGCTGTTGTTGGCCCTCACTGAGGGTGTGGCTGCTCTGACTCTGTATGCTTGTTTTGGGTCAATGAATGTAGAGGATAATGCTGCATCCAACAAAGTAGTCACTAATTTGAATAAATAGGTTGGTCTAGTAACAGGTATGTATCGTACATATTGTGCACCTTACTAATCTACAATGGCATGGAATGCCATGCCAGCTGTCAGCTCCTGACCTCTGCACTGTGTGTTACACACTACTGATCCCTGCACTCTACATTACATACTACTGGCCTCTGAACTCTGCATTACTTACTTCTGACCACTGCACTCTGCATTACTTACCCCTGAGCTGTGATACATACTACTCTTTTATGAAGTCTATGTTCCCTACTACTGACCCCTGAGTTCTTCAAATGATCCTTCATTTTTTGAGGGGTCTTGCTAAATGATGTCCTTGAAAAACAAAACATGCTGCATCCTAGAGAGTGTTGGTCTCTTTCGTGTTGTTCAGGTAGGTCTCCACCTCTCCAGGGTTGCCTACCCGGGAGGAGGGGGGGGGGGGGGG